TGGGTCACCCGCTGACGAGCAGGGGTGAACTGGTGGACACCTGCATCCTGGAGGTCAGCACCACTCACCAAGTTCGTCGAGAACGAGGGGAGGTAAAGACCAGTCAGGGTGCTAGAGGGGGCCGCCGGACACGGGAGGACAGTGGAGAAGCGAGACAGGACAGGTCCCCCAGAGGGGTCAGCCAGGGACACCGCAACCGGCCGACTCAGCGGTGTGAGAGTGGTGCGGTCCCTAAAGAAGGAGCGAGACGCTCCAGAGTCAAGGGTGAAGGTGTGAGAGGCCGAAGCCGACACAGTACCTGAGAGCGCGGACTCACCAGCACCTGAGAGCACAGACGCACTGGCACCTAGAGCTGCAGCCTCACTAGTACCTGACGCGGCAGTACCAATGCCCGGGTCGGGCGGGAAACACCGGTATCAGTCATCCTCATCACTACCAGTCACAGCATACATAGCAGAGAGAATAGCATCAAAGTCAAGATCATAAATAGCTACTCCAGCCCTAGACAGCTCTCCCCAGCGGGGGATCTCAGCGGCCTCCGGAAACTGCTGACGCCAGGCGTCGGTCAGGCGGCCAAAGCAGCGACGGGCTGTGTGGGCGCCCCCACACCTCTCCCCCGCACGGTCACCGGTGCGAAGAACGTAGGGGCAGGGACCAAGTGCACCACCGCGCTGATGCTGCAAGTACCACTCACGGAGCTGCTGAGGGCCGGGGACGGTGCGAGGGCGCTGCTGCTGCTGCGGCTGCTGCTGCTGCTGCTGCTGCTGCTGCTGCTGCTGCTGGCGCTGACCACCCCCAGAGCTGCTCCGCTGGGACGAGCCACTCCGACCCCCGCCTCCACCGCCACCCCCGCCTCCACCGCCACCCCCGTCTCCACCGCCACCTCCCCCACCAGGACCGTCGCTCCCACCGCTCCCACCGCCTCCTCCGCTACCACCTCCGCCGCCACCTCCGCCTCCACCGCCGCCACTAGTACCTCCACTCCCACCACCACCCCCACCGCCACTCCCACTCCCCCCTCCACCCCCACCGCCTCCTCCACCGCCCCCTCTAGCTCCACCCGCCCCCTTGCCCCCCTTGCCCTTGCCAGAGCGGCGTCTGCCGCTGGGGGCAGACGCCGCGCCGACCGACTCAAAACCAGCGAGGTCGGCCACAGCGGCAGAGGCGACAGAGGGCAGCAGGGGGGAAGGACCACACCCCTCAAAGATGGGGGTGCGAGGGTCACCCCGTGAGGCCCCTACAGCGACAATACTCTTCTCAGCCGCTAGCAGGGACTCCTCAAGGAGGTCGACAGTGAGAGTGGTGGGACAGACAGAGAGAAACTGGTCCCTAACGACACGAAGGGACTCAGGGAGACGGGTGACGAGAAAGTAGAGAGTGATGTACATGGGAGGAGGGTTCGCAGCGCGGAACTCAGCAGGAAGGGCAGCGCGGTAGCGGGTGTCACTAGCACGGAGGTGGGTAACGAGGTCAGCGACAGTGGGAAAGGAAGCGAGGTCAGGGAAGAGAAACGGTAGCATGAGGCGGCTAAGGGTAGCGGAGGAAGGGGAGGAGTAGCGTGCAACTACAGCGTCGTACAAGGCCTGAGCGGTCTTGCACTGACTAAAGTGGGCACGCTCAGAGGAAGGGAGGTGGCGACGCACAGCAAGACGTGCAGCAGCATCGCGGGTCGCCCACTTGGAGCGAACGGCAGAGTCAGCATCAGCAGGCGGGGCAGGGACAGCGCCAGAGACAAAGTCAAAGAGAGAGACCTCATCTATCGCATCACACAGTAAGTACAGTTGCAGGTCTTCAATCCAGACGGCAAAGTCAATGGCCCTCCCCTCAGCGTCAAAAGTAAGAACATTGGGGGTGGCCATGGCAGCAGCTGAAAGTCTCACCGGGCTAGGAGAGTCGGGTAGGACAGCAGCAGGCAGCTCGGGCTGGGTCGGGCGGCTCGGGCGGCTCGGGCGGCTCGGGCGGCTCGGGTAGCTCGGGTACCGGGCGGCTCGGCTGCTGCTGGGCGGCTCGGCTGCTGCTGGGCGGCTCGGCTGCTGCTGGGCGGCTCGGCTGCGGCAGGGCGGCTCGGCTGCTGCTGGGCGGCGCGGCTGCTGCTGGGCGGCTCAGCTGCTGCTGGGCGGCTCGGCTGCGGCTGGGCGGCTCGGCTGCTGCTGGGCGGCTCGGCGGGGCCGTCAGGGTGCAGCTGCGGGGCCGGGACAGGGGACGGCGGGGCCGTCAGGGTGCAGCGGCGGGGCCGGGGCAGGGAACGGCGGAGCCGTCAGGTGGCGGGCCAGTAGGCGAGGTGGCGAGCCGTCAGGTGAGGCGGCGGGGCCGTCAGGTCAGGTGGCGGGCCAGCAGGTGAGGCGGCGGGGCCGTCAGGTGAGGTGGCGGGCCAGCAGGTCAGGCGGCGGGCCGTCAGGTGAGGCGGCGGGGCCGTCAGGTCAGGTGGCGGGCCAGTAGGTGAGGCGGCGGGCCGTCAGGTGAGGCGGCGGGGCCGTCAGGTAAGGTGGCGGCGGGCCGTCAGGTGAGGCGGCGGGGCCGTCAGGGAAGGTGGCGGGCCAGCAGGTGAGACGGTGGGCCGTCAGGTGAGGCGGGGGGGGCCGTCTGGTGAGGTGGCGGGCCAGAAGTCGAGGCGGCGGGCCGTCAGGTGAGGCGGCGGCCGTCAGGTAAGGCGGCTGCGGGGCCGACAGAGGTGCAGCGGGGGGGGGGCCTGCTGCAGCGACGAAGAGGCCGCGCGGCCGTCTTGAGGGCGGCGCGGCGCGGCAGAGCCGAGAGGGCGGCGCGGCGCGGCTGTAAGGGCCGCGCGAAGTGGGGCCTGGGCCGCGCGCGCGAAAAAAAATGAGTCGCGCGCGCGACTCTCGGGGCGCCACAAGGGCAGCTCGACGCGCACTAGGGGGAGCGCGCCTCGGGGAGAATAGGGCGCGCTCCGGGCAGGAAAAAAAAATCGTGGGTGGGCCCAAAGAACGGTCCTTAGGAGGGACCCGCTCTATACCATGTGAAACTAACTGAACAGGAATGAATTGACTAAGTCAGAGTTGGGTACAAATACAACCCTAGCAAACTGTACCCCATATGTGCTACCCCACTATAGCCTACAAACATGCATCAGCTATAATAATCTGACAGAAAGGTGCACCACCAAATAGGAAAACGCTATAACTATAGTAACCAATCCTACAGGCAGTTACATATAGAAAATATTAAATAATATTTTCCGACAATATGTTCACATTTGGACAGGTGTCTGCTTTCCTATTTCTGACGTGTACGGAGTCGTTAACATCATCTCAGTCCAGAAGCGTGTCTTGCGGCTAAGCTTACGTGGAGGGCTCCTGTAAACGCATCTCCCGCCAACAGAAACTAGGGATTCGAACGCGAGCATACGGAGGCGAATTAAGTTTCTCTGATCAGTCCGAGCTGACGAAACGAAGCGAGATGAAATGGATTCGTCAGTGACGTTTCTTCGGACAATTCGAACTGCGATCCCATTTTCCCAGTGCGGGTTTGCAAATGTAATCTTTTCGGGCAGAACCATGCGGCTACCCGTGTTTAGGGTTAGGGCTCCCCGTATTTAGGATTGGGGCTCCCCTAATCGCATGCCATCCATATGGGGTTTATTTTTTTCAGACCGCGGGCAGATTGCGACCCATCAGCTTCTTCCAGGCGGACTGTTAGGGATCGCATTTGCGAACCGCGCTGGCTTAATTGGATTGCAGCTGAAGTTGTCCCACATTTTTGCGAAGTGAGTTGGCAAGCGTGGTGATCTCTGGGACGTGTTCGCGAAGTTGAGCTGGCAGCTGATGCGATATTAAACCGCGGTCTCAAGTTCTCCCACCATCAAAGTTCCCCCCACCAGGCCGATTTTTTCAAAGCTGACCACCGAGCCTCATTTTGGCGAGCGACTGGGGTCGCCGGGTTCGCATGTAAGGTACTCAATCGAAGCGAGTTCACCTCCAATGAAATTCACGCCACTGCTCGCATACGGATGGTTCGACGACGAATGTCAGGCAAAACACTAACGGCCAAGCCTGACGGTCACGCATGCCCGAAATATTTCCCGCTTGACCTAAACCGAACACAATCCAGCCTCATCGACTTTACAGCAAGCCAACCTCGCCATCCCTCCTTTAGAGGTTCCCTATCGGGCAGCGGGCGAAATGAATTTTGAGGTCGATCTGCATGAAGCAGTCGTTTGAGTTGAGAGTGAAGTGTCAAAACTGAGCAAACGTGGCATGTGCCGTAATGTCGTACAATGACGGACAGAGCAGTCGTATCGATCGTGGCCGGTTGGAGTTATCGTGGAGAAACTCAGAAAGCGTGAGTGAACATTCAAATGTGAAGTAATGCCATGTCAACACATACGAGTCGCGTGAGGAAACTTCTGCTGGTAAGGGAACTTAAGAATGCGCCCTTCGTGACGTAATTCGTGAGTTTCGTTGACCATTTCCGTATAGAACAGCTCGTCGCAGGCTCACTCCCACCTCTTTATAACCCCCTTCCGGATTCATATGAGTTGTTTCGCTGTTGGGCCCTGTGAGTTTTTTCTAGCCATGAGTCCGCCATGGATTCTGTCGCGCACCTTCGGGTCCAGATCCCGTGCAGGTTCCTTGTCAGGTGGCCTTAACAATTATAGATCTGGACTCCTCGTTACAAGGCGCATCGATCGATACTACTTTTGTGTCTACACGTCGGACATCGTATCTTTCGTTAACCGAGATCCAGTTTCTTGTCAGGCATCTAACTTCAAGGCTCCTTTTACCTGGCTACTAACTTCAAGGTTTCGGTCCTCGTCTTTATGTCTTCAGCTGCTTAACAATGACTACATTGCTCCTATTAAGGTTTTTCGGAAGCATGATCCCGAGGCTTCAACCTCGGTGTTTCACCATCAGCAGCAAGAGCAATGGTCCAACACTCCAGCTTTTTTCCTACTTAATCAGTTCGTGCTCAGAGTTAAGGCATCAGTTCAGACATCATTGGTATGCTTTGCAACCTTCCTGCTTTTCAGTTCTCATCCTTGCACGATGCCTCCCAAGGGGAAGTCCAAGGCTCTACTAGAGGCCTCATCGCCGGAGCTCCCGTCTATGTCTTCAGGAGCTGCTACCTCGTCGCCTGTTCCTGCTCCTGCCTCATCGGATCTTGCAAGCAATGGCAATGGCAAGGTGAAAGAAACCGGCAACGTGACCTATGCTGAAGCTACGGCGAGCGGCTCCGGCCTCTCCTTGGAAGAAAAGCTGCGCTCCTTACGCACGGCTGCTCCTGGCAGCGGGTTCCTTGAGGACGACTCTGACGAGGAGCTCGAAGTTGACATCAAGACGGAAGCTTTCAACCACGTTCGCTACACGACGATTCTTCTGCTCCCCGTGGCCCTCTCCTTGGAAGTGGCTTCGGTCATCACCACGGTCCGTACCCTGATGAAGCGTGTGTAGTCGTCCATGCTCTCTGACGGTGTTGCTAACTCGGCGAAGTTCCAGGAGATTCTCCCAGCATACGTGGCGAAGACTCGTTATAGTCGGCTGCAAGTCTCTCTCCTGTGTGAAGATGATATCATGAGCATCAGATCGAAAGAGGTGGAATACGCGCACCCGAATGGCACGGTCTTCAGACTCTACTGGCAGCATACCGACAACCCAGCGTTCGTGCGGGAGAAGGCGACGAATGCTCAGGCGATCGAAGTTTTGATCCGCGACGTACCTGCGACGAAGACGCCTGAGATGCTGCGGGATCTGATGGTGGTTTACCAGTTGCGGAACCGGAAGCGTTCGGCGTTCAAGGATGGTCTCTGCTTCCACCGCGCTCTGCACCCGGTCACTGGTGCTGATACTGATGTCGTCAAGGATCTTGTGATCCCGCACCCTGGCGACCGTTACCGCTGGCGTCACGTCTTCCAGGACCCAACCGAGATCGGCCGTCACTACTTGGTCCACTTCCCTGTGCTGTCTTGCCTGCTCTGCGGTGGACATCATTATGATGTCAATCATGCTGATTTCACGACGGAGCGGCAAAACAACATAGGGAAGTGGAACCTTACCCTGGGGAGGGTGCATCGTATTAATGGTAACTGCTATTCTAATCATGTTCTCACTTGCTGTGACGTTCTTACCTCTGCTAACTGTCAAGTGGTATCATGCAGCTGCCTCTCTCCCGGCTTCGCCGCTGATCACTCCTATTCTGCTAGATCCGGCGATCGTGCTTATCTCCACGGGTGGAAACCGAGAGGAGTGGATCTGCACGCAAGTGGGTTGTGGGAAGGCCAAGGGAAAGAGCTTCATGTCTACGGCGGATCACATCACCACGGCCAACCACCTCATTCATCTGGAACAGCTCGGCTCTGCTACATGTGCCTCTCTCGAGAAAGCGAGTCTCAACGTCACCAGGAAAGACTATGGATTCTGAAGGAGGAGCAGCTCGGTAGACGCACAGCATCAGCAGCAGTTGGCCTCATGATAGTCGGTGCCGTTCTCTTCTTTACCCTGTGGATGCGTAGGGGTTCTCACCTTGTTATCAAATGAGTAAGAAAAGATTAATCAGTTTCGCGGGCCTTAATGTCAATGGCCTTGGAGATAAGACCAAACAGCAGCGTGTCCTAGACTAGTCCAGACAAGCAGCAGATATCATTGTACTCTCAGACACTAGATTAGCCTCGGATCACCCTCTCTGGTCTCATCCCACTTACAGTTTAGCAGCAGCCGCTTTACCTAGATCGAAAGCCGGCGGAGTTGCTCTGCTCTGTAGGTCGCAGCTCCTCAGCTTTAGCAACGTGGTAGTTCATCCTTCAGGAAGGATAGTCGCCGCCGAAATCCATGGCCTCGGTCTCCATCTTACAGCCATAGCCTGCTACTTCCCAGCTAACCCGACCTTGCGAGCCGTCTTTATCCGTGACACTTTGGGTCCAGTAGTAGATCTGGTCCCGCCTTCCAACCACCTTCTCATCATGGGGGACCTTAACATTATAGAGGACCCAGTGTTAGACAAGTCATCGCGGTTAGGATCGTCTGCGGAGAACGACAGGCTATTAAATCGCTGGAGCACCTTCCAGCTATCCGATGCGTTTAGAACGTTTTTTTCCTAGAAAACGGGAGTTTACCTTTTTCTCGCAAGCCCAGCAAGTTAGCACGCGCATAGACCCGGCTCTCATTTCGCACTCACTTTTACCGCACCTGATTCAGGCTTCGCATGTTATGCCGGTGGATTACATTTCTGACCATAGCTTCGCGATTCGCATAGCTCTCCGAATAGACGCCAAACTTAGTCTTGGTCCCGGTCTCTGGAGGCTTCATGCCTCATTAGTGCACAAGCGGGGGGTTCGGAAGGTTGTTGAAGCAACGGTGGCGAGGTGTGCTGTCACAGACGGGAGCAGCTTTGAACTTCTGCTTTCGAGGCTGGCTGCCGGGCTCCGTGCTTTCGCGAAGGAGGAGGGTAAACGGGTCAAGGCGACAGCGACTCACCTGGTGGACGTTGTCGCCAGTCCTCGGCAGGCGATGATGCGGGATCCGACCTGCAAGCAAACAAGCAAACGGTTAGCTGTGAAGGAAGCACAGCTGCGGGAATATCATGCTTCACGGAAAGACAAACTGCACCCGATGTCGGGAATGCGGTTGGAGCTCAGGGGTGAAGTAGCGTCGCAGCATCTGACGACGATGGTGCAGGCGAGGAAGGCGTGTACCCAGATTGCTGAGCTGCAGACGGCAGACGGAGTGGTATCAGACTCACAAGGGATCCTTCGGGCGGCGTCGGATTTCTTCGCCGATATCTTCGGGAGAGACCTCTGTCAGCTTGAAGAGAGGTGGCGTCCTGACAAGGACAAGACTTTACGGGCATGGGAAGTAGCAGAGCTATCGGCAGACTGGACAGAAGAGGAGGTGAAGCACGCATTTAGCGCGATGGCGGCGAATAAATCCCCGGGCAAAGACGGGCTGCCTAAGGAATTGTTTGAAGCTCACTGGGACCTGCTGGGAAAAGGGTTCATGGCCCTCGCCAAGGATTTTGCAAGAACCGCGGTGCTTTCGAGGGAGGTGAAGGAAGCGGTGACGATCCTGCTGCATAAAAAAGGCGACAAGGATCAGCTTAATAACTATTGCCCGATCACGCTACTCAACTTCACGTACAAAGTGTTGGCGCGGGTCATGGCCGACAGAATGAAGAAGTATCTGGGGAGGGTGATATCGCCTGAGCAATATGGTTTCCTTCCGGGAAGGCGGCTAACGGATGCAGTGGGACTTGTCGCCGACATCATTGACTCCGCGCGGAACGACAACGAGAAATGGTTCCTCCTGCTAGTCGACTTTAAGAAAGCCTTCGACTTCGTCTCGCGTGGCTATCTTTTCCGGACGATGCGCGCAATGGGCTTCCCGGATCGGTTTGTGAGGTGGGCGGAGGGCCTGCACGAAGGAACGCAAACGAGGCTGTTAGTAAACGGATGGATGGGGGAAGGTGTGGAAGTGATTTCCGGGGTGCGCCAAGGCTGTCCTCTCGCGCCTTACCTTTTCCTCTGTGCGGTTGAGCCGTTGGCACAGACGGTCCTCAGGAAGAAGATGGGTATCAGCAAAGAAGCAAGTGAGAGATTGGCATACATCGGGTACGCGGATGACACCACATTGGTATTGGAAGGAAAGCACCAGCTTATCAAGGCTGAGAAGGTGCTAGCGAAATTCGAACTGACCTCCGGGTTGGCGACAAACCGAGATAAGTCGGTTGTCCTACCGCTGGGGAACAATCTTGGCAGAACGACGGGGAGATCACATAGCTTCAGGCGGGCGAAGAAGGATGAAGCGGAGAAGCTGTTGGGCGTGTGGATCACGCCTTCCGGGAGCTGCCTGCCAACATGGGAGAAAACCTCGGAGGACATATCGAGGAAGGTTAAAAAATGGGAGCAAACATACCTGCCAACAACGGCGCGTACTGCGGTTGTCAACAGTTACACGATGCCGAAGGCGGCTTTTCAAGCGCAGGTCTACCCGCCGCCGGCAAAACAGTGGGGGGTCATCTCCAAGACCTTCGAAAACTTCGTCTCCGGCAATAAGGCAACGGCGGATAGGGTTTTCCGTCTCTGGAGTAAGGTACTGCTATACACCCCAAGAAAGTTGGGAGGAGTGGGCGTGCAGGACCCGGAGATGATCTTGGCGTGCCTCACGGCAAGGAGGGTAGGGCTGTTAGCACTGGAGACTAATCAGCTGAAAAAACACCTTATGGTGCGAGCCGCGGATCTACCCATGGGCATCGAGACCTTCTTCGCCCATGAGAAGCTGCTGAAGCATTGGGAGGGGAAGAGTGCTCGCTGGAAGGTCGCGCGTGAGAACTTCATGAAAACGCCGCTTGGTACTCTCCCGGAGGTGGCTACAAGAGAAGCGGTGGCATGGGAGCGGATTGTTTTCAACAAGCGTTTATTGCTCAACGGAACTACGCCGGTGGGAGGCCACCAAGATGCAAAGCTGTTGTGGGAAAGGCGCCTTGGTGATCTAGTTGAACTTGGAGGTAGCGGGGTTCCGGAGCTAAAGGACTCAGTCACACAGGAAAAAGAGCTCGGCGGGAAGGGAGCAGCCAAGCTTGCACGGAGGGCGTTTGAAGCTGCGCCTCAGAAGTGGAAAGAGCTGCTGCTCAGCGCTTCCCCTCAGCCCTCCAACTCAACGGGGGACAGGAGGGCTCTCCACCCCGCAGGGCGCAAGCTTTCCGACTTCCCCATTTTTGAGAACGGAGGGATTGCGCCCCTGAGGCGGTTGAAGCTGCTTTGGAAGGAGGGGCAGAAGCCATCTGCTAAGCAACAGCTGTGGAATGGCAGGTGGAGCGGAAGTATCAATTGGAAAAAGACTATCGCCATTCGTGATTCTCTGGTCACGCCGAGTAAGCCGAGGGATGTTATGCTGCGAATCCATAATCTGAACCTGCAAGTGGGAGAACGGGTGGCTTTTTTTAGCAGCAAGCCGGTCTGCCCGTACTGTGGGGGGGAGGAAACTCTTGAGCACTGTTTATACAGCTGTCCCAAGATTCAAGTGGTGACGTCTGCTCTGGTAAAATCTCTCCGCATGCTAAACAGTTCGCGTGCTGTGTCATCATTGGGAGACCTGTTGTTCCGGGAGGCGGGTACCATCACGGCTTTTCCGGAAGCCACGCTTACTTCTATTACGCTCTACCAACTGTGGGCAGAGCGGTGTGACGCTGTATTTCGGGGGAAGAAATTCCGGACGAGGCGGGTGCTCCGCCGTGTCGAGGCTGCTTTCCGCTTGCATGCACACATCTACACGAGGTCGAGGGACGCGGAGTGGAAGAAGCGCAGGGGCACGCAACATGAGGGGAAGTTTCGCCGGGTGTTGGAGAGCGAGAACAAGCTACTGTTTCGGATCAGGGACAAGAATAGCAAGTCGTGGACGTGGACGAAAGCCTTCTCAAATGTCTGGCTCGCACCGAGGATGACTCGCCAACCTCCTTAGAGGCCACACCTGGGGCGGCCACATGGTTTCCCCTCATGCGCAGTTACGACTGTTATTGCTTATGTATGCTTGTTCTATCGGTGTACATTGCAATTACCAAAAAAAAAAAAAAAATCCCTTTCCGAAGTGACAATCAATAAATGATTGTGGAAAGGCCCATGATACACCACATCAAATCGTACTCATCAATTTAACACAGCGTTTTTTAGTACATCTTGCTTACAATACAATAATCGGTTTTCTACGTTTGTGCTTCAGCAGGTGCTGCTTCCAGTGCTTCCATAACACTGGCCACCCAGCTGCGCATAGAAACAGAGGGAGATGAAGGGGTAGAGAAAAGCCAATTTGAGGAGACAATTGATACAGCAGAGGAGGTTATTGTAGAGAGTGAGTAGCGCGTGGTCCTGAACAAACTCACCTTTCAATTCCAGGACTATCTGGTGCAAACACCCTCTTGATCCCTGCTTTTCTCGCAGCCTCGGCGGACGTTCCCCCGATGCATGCTGCAGCTCCGTCCCACTGCGTGCGCGACGCCACCACCTCCATCCACGCCCTGGGGCGAGGGGCAAGGGCCGAGGGGCGAGGGGCGAGGAGGGAAGGGGAGATGCAATGAGCGAAGGGAGTGGGGATTGGGGAGGGGGGTTAGGGTAACAGGGAGAGGGTGGGGTGAGGGGCAAGGGACGTTAGAAGAGGGGGTGGGGGGAGAAGGGCAAGGGGAGTGGGGAGAGTTGAAGGGGGCGAATGGCAAGGAGAGCGATAAGCAGAGTGGAGAGGAGCGAGGGACAAGGGAGGTGGGAAGCGGGGAGAGGCGAGACTGGAGATGGTCTGTCTTCGGGTTGAGAGTGCGATGCTGCTCACCTGACAGCAGTGGGAGAGGCCACAGCAACAACAGGAGCCCTGGCGGCTCTCTGTATGGTGTCCTTGTCCACACTGGTCACCGACTCCTGATGCCCACATGCCCAAACACACATACAGAGATCAAGCCATGGAGGAAGCGGGACAGAAGAAAGCCGGCACAAAAAGGGGGTTCTGTGAGATTGTTGAAGCGATGCGTGGGGTTTTCTCTGGCACATGAAAACAACTTCAGAGAGGAAAACCAACAGTTTTAACTGACAGAGGGAAGTGCTGTGACTGTAACAGAACGAGGTGAGTGCCATGGCGCGTACCGTGGAGTATGTGTTGAGCCGCGTGACTTGGAAGCCCCTGCTTGCCAGCCCATTCTCTGCAGTCAAACACAGAAGCACAGAAATGTTTGAAGCACCGACCAAAAAAAAAAAAAAACAAATTACTAGTTACAGACCATGAATCAAGCAACCCTCTTCCCCCCTACCCCCACCCCTTCTCCCCCGTTCCTTGCATCCCAGGCCAGAGCACCCACGGAGATCCGTGCTGGCTTTGGCCGAGGCGGGGTACAGCACCCGGCGGTTGCCGCCTTGAATCTCTGGAATCTCAGCTGACAGATACTTGGCCGTGGCTGGGGAAGCAGGGAAGGTGGAGAGCGAGGAGAGGAAGGAGAGGGAGGAGAGGGAAGAAAAGGGGGAGAGGGAGGAGAGGGAGGAGAGGGGGGAGAGGGAGGAGAGGGGGAAAATAAGAAACGCACATAGTTGCACCAAAAGCACCCGGCGGTTGCCGCCTTGAATTTCAGCAGACAGGTACTTGGCCGTGGCTGGGGAAGCAGGGGAGGTGGAGAGCGAGGAGAGGAAGGAGAGGGGGGAAATAAGAAATGCACACATAGTTGCAACAGAAGCACTCTACCGAGCCAGGCGACTCTAAACACCAATTTTGAAGGGAGAAGAAGACGGTCACCTATGGAGGGAACGAACTGGACGGGCAGGAGGTGCTTCTCACGCTCGCCCAGCTGATGGAACACCTCCGCTGTGCCGCCCCCCACCACTGCCAGCCTCAGCGCCGGCGACCCTGCGGCTCTGAGAGGCGACGGGGGAAGGGAGAGGCAGGTGGCGTTGATGCGTGTCATTAAGCGCGTGTTTTTTGAGAATTCTAAAAAAACATGCGTGTCATTAAGGGAGAAAGGAGATGTGGCGTGGATGGGTTATGACAGGAAGGTGTGCAGTCAGTAGAAATAAGGAGTCAGACTCGATTGGGATGGGAGAGCACTAGCGTGAAATCATTGCAGGATGCAGATGCAAGGTGCGAAGACGGGAACGGAGCATGTCAGCGTGGTGATGCAACCTCACCTCCATCCAGTAAGGAACACTGACGCAGCTTCTGGCGAGGTTACCACAATCCACTCAAACTCCTCTTCTGCAGTGAAGAGGACACGGGCCAGAAAAGCAGCAGGATGAGAAACCGCTGAGGAAGCACCCAGGATTGAAAGGGGCACGATTAGGAGGCTCAAAGAAGCAGGAACGAGGATAGGACAGGGAAAAATAGGGGGGACAGGGAAGGTCGGGGGGGAAAGAAAAAGCTGACTGGGACAAGGAGGCGGGGAGGCGTGTGGAGTGACCTTGAAGCACGGCTGGCAGTCGGTGGGTGTCGGACCCGTCTGAGTGCTGGATGAGTGGCAGCTCCATCACTGACACTCCCCTCGCACTCTGCCAGAAACAACAAGCAGAGAGAAATGCTGCGTTCTGAATGTTTTTGTTGTACACACGCGGTCCCGTCTTGAGTGCTGAATCAGGCAGCTCTATCTCTGGCACATCCCTCAACCTCAAATGCGCGAGACGTTCATTTGGGATGTGAGCATTTGCAACTGAGGTTCATCACATGGCGAGAAACGAGGGTGCATCCATGGCAGTCTCCCGAAGTTTCCCGAAGAAAGTTGTAGCTCAGACTTTGCCCTTTTCTCATCAGCACTTTCAGCGCTGTGCGTTGTGTTTTGAACACAGTAACTGTTCAGAATGTCAACACTCACCAGTGCCTTCATCAGCTTGCCGTTCTTGCCTTTCTCGCGCGTCGCCACCACCAGGGGTGGCTGATCCGAGGCACCACTCTGCTGTTCTTCCTGCGATACTGATCCTGCTGACGCCGTGACAGACCTGCACCGAAATCGTCTCGTTTTCAGTGACGCAGATGACGTGGCACAGGCGCTAGAAACTGTGTGGAGACGCAGAGGGACCAAGTTGACTGCGCCATTGCTTCTGATGGTCATGACTGCTGGTAACAGGAAGAGAAACAGAAGAGCTAAATCAATTAAACTGGAGGCACCATAGTGAGAATTGACATGGTATTATGAAATCCGTGCAGTCAAGACCGAGAATGACTGAGCATGAAAGCGTGGGCGACGGGATGAATGAAACATGAACGAATCTTCACGCGATAATGAGATGAGACATATGATGCCGACCTGATGATCTCGAAAGGCCATGGTTTTTTATGACTCCCATTAACCGAACGCCACTTAGCGTGCTGGATGCCATGGCTCAGAAACTCGTTTGATTTGCCAAGAAGCACCGATGCTAAACGCTAGGAGTACAGCGTGGAATACGGTTCCTCTGCCTCCCTTTCTCTTGGGACTACCGAGCCGAGAGTCTAAAATAAATGGAGACTAAACCTGCGGGTGGCTGATTACTATCTGAAATGTTAATGGAGATTTGTGAATGCAAATGAGGGGCTAAGTTCGAGAATGTGCTGAGAAGGAACTAGAGGCCAGGGTAATCCAGAAAGATGTGCCAGCGCATACAGACGCCGATTTATCCAATCATAAAGCTTTCGCTTCAATGTTCTTGCCAAATGTCAATGTTTTATGGGTCGTCTGACGGTCAAATTGGTTCCAGCTTACAGGACAACCCTGGCAAGCTTGAGGGCTTCGCAGTTGTCTCAGCGAAGTCAAATGGGGATGGTAACTCGACGACTAGGTGCGATCTGCTGTTTCGGAGTAACCAGAGGACCGCAGGTAGGGCCCATCTCGCGAACCACACAGAGGGAGGCTTGGTCGGTACACCCCCTTCTGGCCGAGAGATGTGTGGCATGACAGGTAGCACTCTGACAACATGTACAGCACCCGCAGCCAACCAGACCAGAGCTGTTAGACACCAGACAGCCTCATACAGTCACACCACCGCCAGAACAACCTGATCCCCGACATTCCCGCTGGCCAATGAGCGTGAAATCCCGAAACCCTTCAGACGAGGGCAGACCACCGGACACGGCGCTCGATTTTTCCGAACCAATAGGCGTTTGACTGCGAGGAAGTCAGACCCGCACCGCACGAATCGGTCGCGTCGCATTCTCCTGCTGGTGGCAGGAACATTTGTTCTTCTCAAATTCACTCAGAAAGAGAGAGCATTCCCTTCAACCCTCTTTGGCCTCGATTCATCTCTTGGCCTCTACCACAAGTTTCACGCAGCTATGTCGGCGGATTCGCAACCAGAGTCTCTTTCGTGTTGTAACTGTGATTGCTGAATCCTCGCCACAGTCGGCGCTGTCTTCTTGTTCAGGTTCTTGCTTCTGTTCTTGTCCCTAACCTCCATACCTAGAGAGTAGACCGCAGAGAATGAAGTCTTGCGGTGAACGTTGCGAAACCTCCGCCGCGCAACCTCTGTGCCGAACCTGATGGAAATGTTTTCGTTTAGGATAAATACCAAACCTCACTGAAGCATCTTACAAGCGATCTTACAGAGTTTGTCGACCACAGAGGAGCCCGCGTGATCGTCTATTTATCCTGCAAGGCGCTCGCTTGCCGTTTAAGTTGCGCCGGGCGACACTTCAGGTCGTCCATTCCGCCAAAGTCAATCCAACGAATATAGACACTCCCATTCGCACGGCCTGCCATTTTAGTTGCTTCCCCAGATCCACATCTGCTGTGAGACTATACTCGCTAAACGCTGCAGTAGCTGTACATTCCACTGGGAAAAAAAAAAAAAAAAAAATCCTCCCTTTCGGCTTAGCTCATCATGGAAGGCTCCACCACGCCCGTAAAATCGATACACTGCACGCCGACCAGAAGCCTTTCAGCCCCCGTTAGACCCCCTTCGGCGGGATTCTCGCCGCGACCTCCGACCTCCCCTTACTCCACCCCTTCCTCCTCCTTTTCCCTCTTCGGCGGCAAGCCATGGCGGTCGTGGGCGTGGGCCGCGAACAGCCTCCCGCTGCTCTCCTTCTTCGCGCTCGCGCTTATAGCGACGGGACTGGTGCGCCAGCTCAACTCGCTCGCGGGGGTCGACGTTGCGACTATATCGGATGCGGAGATGGCGAGGATTCGAGTCGTGGGCGACGTGTGTGGGATGGGTCCGATGGAGTTGAGAAGCATAATGGCGCAAGCGCACGGGTGGCGGCGAGGTAAGAGGCACTGATGGGAATTCTTAAAGTGGTTCTGATGGGGTCCAATGGAGTTGAGAGGGTCATGGCGGAAGAGCATGGGTGGCGGCGAGGTAATATGCACTGACGCGCTTGTATCAATTTGAGAACTCTCGACGTGGGTTCAATGGGATCCAAAGGGGTCCAGTGGGGTCCGATGGAGCTGAGCAGTGTCATGGCGGAAGAGCATGGGTGGCGGCGAGGTAAGATGCACTGACGCTTCCTCTCTTGAACAAGCGCCCTTTCCCCAATCCCTTTTCCGCGCCATTTTTCTCCGCCAGATCGATCCGCCATGCTCGTAACTCCCGCCTCATGGCTAAGTCCCAGCTCTATCTCTCTCCCCCACATCTTCTCTCCCTTACCCTCCCTCCCCTTCCTCCTTCCCCCTACCTCCCCGCATCCCTTCTTTCGTCCCCCTCCTCCCCTTGGTTCTGACCCCTCCCCCCCCAATGCGCCTGCTATATCGCCCCCGTCGCTCCGCGTTCCGCGCCAGACGAGCCGCGGTACTGGTACGCGGGGCGGTGGCAGACGAACCGGCAGCTCTACCTCGCCTTGGAGATCGTGCGAAAGCAGTTACCACGCGACGCCGTCGTGTGCGCGCTGGCGGCGGTGCACGGCCAAGTGCCGTGCCTGCACGCGCCGTGCGTGCTGACCCTGCACGTGCGGCCGTACTACTCGGATTTCAGCGTGCTGAAGCAGCTCGTCGAGATGGATGAGTTCGGGTTCATCAAACACTTTCGACCGCGAACTGTCCTGGATGCAGGTACGCCTAGGTTCCCGATTGACTGATGAGTCGACTCAAAAGTCACCTCACCCTGCACATTCGCCCGTACTACTCGGATTTCAGCGTGCTGAAGCAGCTAATCGAGATGGACGAGTTCGGGTTCATCAAACACTTCCGGCCGGCCACTGTGCTGGACGCAGGTATGCGCGGGTCCCCGGTTTTACTACTCAACCGGTTGTTGCTTCCAAGTCTTGAGTACAAGACGGCTTTATGGTTGTCGCCACACATACGGCTGTACCCTCTGGCCCTTCCGATAAGCCGTCGTCACGTTTTTCGTCCGCTGGTTTTTCTCCTCATTCCCAGGAGCCAACGTGGGGTATGCGACGCTCATATTCTCCACCTTCTTCCCCAACGCTACTGTGGTCGCCATAGAGGCGAGCGACAAGAACTTTGAGGTGTTACGCCGTAACACGTATCGCCTGCGCAACGTTTATGCGGTGCATGCGGGGTTGTTTAACCACTCTGGGATGGTGCTGCTAAGAAATGGGACACAAACGAAGACGAGGGAGGGGTGGCAGTATGTGGTTACGCCAGTGCCCTCTAATAGCAGCGGTGATACAAACGAAGGTGATACTAACGAGCATGTTCAGGAGGGAGTAGAGGGTGAAGCGAAGAGCAGCAACAGCAGCGGAGTGGCAAGCACGGTGGCAGCTGAGGGGGGTGTTACTATCCGTGCTGTGACTGTAGGCGATGTGCTAAAGCAGGTTGGGTTGGCGAGATTTGATTTTGTGAAGATGGATATTGAGGGTTCCGAGGCTGAAGTGCTGGCCATGCCACCAATGGCATCCGACTCGGATGTGACTGAATCGAATGCAGATTCCTCTGCCTCTGGTGAAATAAGCAGCAGCAATGGCAGTGACAATAGCAGCAGCAGCAGCGGCGGCAGTAGCAGCAGCAGCAGCGGTGGCAGTAGCAGCAGCAGCAGCAGCAGGACCAGTAGCACAGCTGACATCAGCAGGAAATCTGATTGGTACGACCCTAGGCCGTGGTTGGATGAGGTGCGGGTGATGGCAGTAGAAGTGCACGACCGCATGAAGCCGAATTGCACCGTTACTGTAGAGGCTGCTACTGTAGCGCGGCAGTGGCGGCTGCTAGCGCGATCAGGAGAGTATCTTGTGCTTGAGAATGAGAGGTGGAGTGTGAGGAGGGGGAGGCGAGGAGGGGCGGCGGGGCAGAGGGCGGAAGTCAGGGAGAAGTTGAGGGAGGTGCAAAGGAAGGAAGGGGAGAGGAGGAAGGAGGGGACAAAGGAGGAGGGGAGGGTGCAGCAAGGAGCGCAGGCAGGTTCAGGAGAGGGGCAAAGGGGGGAGGTAAAAGCAAGACGATAGAATTAGGTTGGAACTTTTGGACATTAGGTGCTAAATATTAGGATTGGAGTACAATAATCTCGGCTGAGAAGCAGCTCAGCTCACCTGCTCTTCACCCTGCAATACTCTGGATTCTGTTCGTACAGTTTCTCCTGCTCATGTACACTCCGGGTGAGGACTAACTGCAAAAACGATCATGTATGCTAATAGATTTTAGACCAACACCAGTAGTGCACTAGTGACACACAAAACACCACACAACAGTCTGTCTCTTCATTAACGAACCCCCTCTCCTCCCACAAATAACCCCTACTTCCGCCTCCCCTCCGACTTCCGGTCCCAACCTAAGAACATGGATGCAAGACACATCTGACTGGTTCCAGACTCAGGTTCCACTCCCTAAGCAGCAAACAACAACACTACCATCTGCTCTCATCTCAGCCCAGCGCTACTAGCACCGAGAATCCCAAGATCCGATTCTCTCTCTGCACTTGATCCGAACGCGCAGTCCTGTGCCTCCACACAACGCGCTGGCTCCTATCGCTCAGACCGGTACCTAGCATGGGGGCAAGGGGGGAAGCTGACTGTTTAAGCTCAATGCATGTGAGCCTGTTGACACACGCGTGCGTGAGAGTCACCGTCTCGTGCGCGTAACAACAGGACAAGAATTTTCTTGACAGAAACAAGATAACAAAGAAGGACGAGAAGTGAGCAATGAGGTGAGGAGGGTAGATCGGGAATGGACAGAGGGCATACCTGCAGGGAGGAGGATCGGAACCATAGAGAGAAGTGGGAGGGAGGGAGAGGGAAAGGAAACCCGCAGACCCGGAAACACGACCACAGGCCACCGCGCATGGGGGGGTGTTGGTTGTTAGGCTGAGAAAGTGCCACCGCGCACGGGAGCTGGTCTGCTGAGAGGCGTGCGCTGCTCTGTGTGAAAGCAGTGGCGGCACAGGAAGGACAAACTGGTCCGCCCAGAGGGGGGCTGGGACAAGAGGGTGAGAGGAGGGAGGGACAGCACTGCAGAGAGAGTGCAGGTGCATCCGCTCGAATGCTCACGCATATACACTCACATATGCACAGACTCACGCTCAGACTTGCACAGAGGCAACAGGTGAAAGTTCTATAATCGACGCTATGGCGTATGATCGAAGGGTATGAGCACGCAGAGTGCCATGGCATGTGTGCTCGATGCTAGTGCCGCGCATTTAACATAAGACCAGCTAACTGAGAAAGAAAGAAAGAAAGAGAATTCACACCGTCGCTTGGGAGTTGGGCTGCGGCTGCTGCTGCTGCGGCTCCTGCCGCGACTCACACTGCGACTCCTCCTCCTGCTCCTCCTCTGCTCCCCATGCCTCTCTCCCTTGCCCCCCTCCTTGTCCTTCCTCTTCTCCTTGTCCCTCTTGCTTTCCTTCTCCCGCCTCTCCTCCTTCCCCTTCCTACTCTCCTTCTCCTTCTCGCTGCTCTTCTCTGCTCTCTCTCGCTCCCTCCCCTTGTCCTTGCTCCCACGCTTCCCATGCCTGGGTTTCAGACGGAGGATAGAAAAGACAGGTAGACGGACGGATCATGCAAGGGCGGATAAAAATGGATCCGTAGGAATGGAACAGCAACAAGAGACATATTAATAAGCGCTAGACAACTCACTCACACGCCCTCCATTCTCACACGCCCACCCTTGCACAAGCCCACCCCCATATGCCCACCCTCACATACTCAACCTCACATGCCCACCCCACATGCCCCACATGCCCCCCCCCCATGCCCAACCCTCCACGCCCACATCCCATCCCCACCCCCCATGCCCACTCGCACATGCCCATATCTCCCATGCTCACCTGCCACGATCTTCCCCCTCCTCGTCCCCATCACTGGAAGAGCGCTCGGGTTGAGGGGACCAGGACCGGGACCGGGACCGCGACTTGCTGCGATGCCTGCCCTTCCTTCCTGCCTCCTTTCTCTCCAATCGCCCGTGCTTGCTTCCCCTCTCCCGCTCTCCACTCCTATCCTCGTCACTGTCAGCATCAGCATCAGCTTCTCCTTTCTTCTCTTTGCTCTCCTCCTTCCTCCTACCTTCAGACTTGTCTTTCCTCTCACGCTTCTCCTTGCTCCTACGCTCCTCCTTCTCCTTCTCCTCCTCCTCCTCTTTCTCGCCTTTAGATCCCTTCCTCTCCTTGCCATCCTCCTTACGCTCCTTCCTGCCGCCCTCCTCCCTGCTTTCGTCCCTGCTCCCCTCCTCATCTCCATCCCTCTTTCTCTCCTTCCCCCTCCTGTCTCTGTCCTTTTCCCTCTCCCCACCCTTCACAACACTCCTCTCCTTCTCCCTCTCCTTGCCCCTCCTCTCATCCCTCTCTTTGCTCCTCTCCTCACCCCTACCACTCCTCTTCTCCTTCTCTTTTCCATCATCCTTCTCTTCATCCTTCCTTTTATCCTTCTCTTTAGTTTTCTCCTTCTCCTTCGCCCTCTTCCTCTCCTGAGACTCCCTTGCCTCTCGGCTCTTCTGCTTGCTCCTTGACCCCAACCCATCTTCATCATCCCCCCCCTTCCCTTTCCCATCCCTCTCTTCTCTATGCCTCTTCTCACTTCCCTCCTTCCTCTCATGCTCCCCTCTCTTTTTCTCCTTCCTCCCCTCGCTCTCCTCACTCTCCCCATCCTTCTCCTTATCATCTTCCCTCTCACCCCTCCTGCTCGACTTTCCTTTCTTGCTTTCCTCCTCCCCTCCCTCGTCCTCTCCCCTCGCCCTCCCACGCCCTTCCCCTGTCTTCTTTCCCTTCCCTACCCCATCATCCTCGCCACACTTTCTCCTCCTCCCCCTCTCCCCCTCATCATCCGCCCCTGTGCGCACCTCTTCCCCTCCCTCCTGCTGCCCCATGCTCTTATCGCCCCGTTCCTCCTGCCTTCCCTCCATCTTCGCCCCTTCATCCCCTTCTTCCCCATCCTTCCCCTCCTCCAACGCACCATCCTTCACTTGCTCCTCCCTCCCCATTCCGTCTCTCGGCACCGCACTCCCACCCCCATCACCACCATCAACCCCTCTGTCCTTTGTATCCCTTACAACTCCATTCTCCTCCTCCTTCTCCTTTTCCTCCTCCTCTTCCTTCTCCTCCTCCTCCTTCTCCTCATCCTCTTCGTCGTCGTCGTCCTCCTCCTCCTCCTCCCCCTCCCCCTCCTCATCCTCATCATCCTCATCATCCTCATCGCTCCCATATGCAATCCCCAACAGCCCTCCACCCAACAACCCTCCAACCCCTCCGGCCCGTTTCTTCTTCCTCTTACTCTTCGCCTTCCTCTCGGCACCTGTTGCCTTGCTCGTCTCAACCACCCCCTTCCTCCCAAACTCACCTGCCCCTCCTTCCACAACCCCCCTGTTTTCCTCAACCACGCCTGCCCCACCTGGTTTTTCACCTGACTCTTCACCTGCTGTCCCATCTTCCTTCTCCTCCACCTCCATACCCCTGTTTCCATCCTTCTCCCCCCCGGTCCCTTTCTCCTCCTCTTCCTCCTCCTTCTCCTTCTCATCCTCCTCCCCTTCACCCACTGTCACCCATTTCCCTCCACTAACATTCTTCCCCTTCTCCTCCTCTTCCGCCTCCTCCTCGTCCTCCTCCTCGCGGGGATCCCTGAGAGCATCCTTGGCGATCCGCCTCACCATGTCGTCAGTCACCTGTTGGCAGGTAGAAGGGGTCGGGGCGGATGGGAGAGCATGGGGCAGGGCGCAGAGTGAGGAGCGGATGGGAAAAAGTGGGGCGGGGAGAGGGCGGGGAGAGGGTGGGGCGGATGGGAGAATGTGGGGCAGAGGGAAGAATGTGAGGGGGGGGGGAGAGTGTGGGCAGAGGGGAGAGTGTGAGGGGGCGGGAGAGTGTGGGGGGAGAGTGCAGGGTGGGGGGGTGGGAATGGGGTGGAAAGGACTTTGGACATGTTCTGAAAAAAAAAAGGCGATTCAGCATGTGACTTATGTGACCCCCCTCGCACACAACCCTCCTCGCACGCAACCCTCCTCGCACGCAACCCCCCTCGCACGCGATTCCCCTCGCATGCAAACCCCTCTGTTTCTCACCCACCTTGCACTCCTGTGAGCACTTGTTCATCAATCCTCAACGCACCTGACAGCAACGTCTGCAACTCTCCTCCCCTTTCCACTCATTACGTCCTTCGCTACGCCAAGTCACGATAAATACGAGCAACACCGTAAAAGTAGGGGAAACTTCAAAAGCTGCATCCAAGAGGTCTATTCCTCGGGTGTGCTCTCAACGTGATGAAAGAAGCATACATGCCATTTCTGAGCTATTTTTGATACTAGCAGGTTCGGCCAACAATACCGCTATGGCGTCACCCTGAAAAATCAAACGGTCTTTTCGAGAAGACCCTCCCTCCTGCAACACGGAATGCTCGCAAATATTCTCCTGTTGCCGGCCAAAAAAAACCAATATAACGTCACCCTGTTGCTATAATGATTTTGTTGGCCGGCAGAAGAATATCTGCAAACATTCCGTGTTGCAGGAGGAAGGGTCTTCTTGAAAAGACCGTTTTACTTTTCAGGGTGGCTCCATAGTGGCCGAGCCTGCTAGTATTGGCCAATCCACCTCACATCCACCTCAACATCGAACCCACCTTGAGCAACACTTCTGTCAGCACGCGCTTGTTCATCCCCATCCTCTATAGGGCACGTTACAGTTCTTCACCATCCCTCAAAGCACCCACGCGACCCACCTCACCTCAACATCCCACCCACCTTGAGCAGCACTTCTGTGAGCACGCGTTTGATCTCATTATTCATCGCCATCCTCCGCTGCACCTCCGTCTCCTCCTCCTCGTCCTCTTCCTCATCATCACTCTCCACACCCCTTCTCCCCCCACCACCACGACCAGAGGCACCACGCGCAGCACCACCAGCGCCAGCACCAGTTCCCGCGAGAGGGCCTCTATCGTTGTACCATTTGTCCTTGGGGGGGGCTTTAGCAGGTGAGTCTGCCGCTCCTGCTGCTGCTAAGGCTGCCTTCTTCTTGATGACCTCGTCCACAAGCCACGAGGGGAGCGACTGGGTGGAGAGAGGGAGACACGGGAAACGGGGAAGGGGATGAGGGGGAGGAGAAGCAGGGGGCGTTTTAGCAGCAGCTAGGGCTGCCTTCTTCTTGACGACCTCGTCCAATCCAATAACTACGAGGGGAGCGAATGGGTTAGGGGAGGGGAGGGAGGGAGAGGAAGAGAGGGAGGGAGGGGGGAAGAGGGAGAGGGAAAGGGAGAGAGAGGAAGAGGGAGAGGGGGAGAGAGGGAGGAAGGGAGAGAGGGATGAAGGGAGAGTTTAAGAGAGAAAGAGTGAGAAAGAACGTCTTTCATTATGAAAACACGAAGGCTGGAGGGCGCAGGAAAGGGCTGGAGAGGAGGGAGAGAACGGGAACGAGAACAGAAAGAGGGAAGGGGGGGAGCACAAAGACATTTGTAGTGGTAATTGGAAGCGGGGTTTGTGGGGGGGAGAACGGGGAGAGGACAAGCATACATGTAAGAGGAATTGTTAAGGCGCCTCAACAGACGATAGCAGCTCAACTTTTTAGGTTTAACCCCAGGAGTGACAGAGACATCCCCGCCCATGTCATAAACAGCCGGATCAAAGCACATCCCTGCAAATTTGAGACGCCTTCAAACCCAAACACCCGCAGCCCACCTTCTTTGGTTTAGCGCCGGGAGTGATGGAGCCACCCCCGCCCATGTCATATACAGCCGGGTCGAAATACATTCCTGCAGATGCTGCTGCCGCCTGTGCCGCCGCCAGCACTGCTGGTGAGAGTACTGACATGTCTGCTGCCTGATTGGCTGGCGGCACGTACGCGGCTGCTGCTACCGCCCCTGTTGCTGGTGTTGCGGGTGGGGGGTATTGCGGCGGCGGGCCGGGCGGAGGGGGGAGCGCGGAGGCGTGCGCGGGGGCCGGGGCGGAGAGGAGCGGCGGAGCGGGTGGCGGCGGGGGCAGGCGCGGGTAGTGCTGGTCGTGCGCGTGCTGAGGGGGGAATCCGCCTGCTGCCGCCGCTCCTGCTGCTGCTGCTGACGCTGCAGCAGCGTCAGGCGCATTGGCATCCCCATATCCCGAGTACACTCCGTTGTACGTACTACCGGGACCCGAAGGGAGGAATTGCGGGGGCGGAGGGGGATACTGCATCTGGGGAGGGGGGCATTGCGGCGGGTAGAACGACGCGGGATCAGGCGGGTGAGTGTGGGGAGGGAGAGGAGGGCCGTGGGAAGGAGGCGGAGGTGGGTACATGTACATTTGCTGCTGCTGCTCTTGCTGTTGCTGCTGATGTTGCTGGTGCATTTCCGGGGGGTAGTAATACTGCTGGTAATGCTGCTGATAGTACTGCTGCTGCTGCTCTTGCTGGTGCTGCTGCTGTTGCTGTTCCGCCCCTGTGCTACCGCCGTACTCACCACCCACATACGTCCCATCAGCAGCAACATACCCCCCGTATCCACCTCCCCCGCCTCCCCCGGCCCCCGCACCCACATCCTGCAGTTGCGTTCCCGGCGCCCCCCCCCCCCGCATCCGCTGCTGCAATATCCTGCTTCGGTGGTTCCTTGTCCTCGTTAGCTGCTGCTTCTTTACTTGTTGCCGCCGCAGCTGCCGCCGCCGCCGCGTCCGCCGTTTCCTGCGCCGCCCGCTGCTCCGCCCAGAGCCGCGCCTTGGCCGCCCAGTCGAGCTCCGCCCCTGATACACGGGGTGGGGGAGTCATGAACGGTTTAAGGGAGTCGTGAACACTTCAAGGGAGCCGTGAACGTTCAAGGGAGTCATGAGGAGTTTAAGAGTGTCATAAACGGGTTGATGCACGGATCCACGGAGCCATGAATAAGGCGATGCACGATTCACTGACACTTAAGCGACGCGGGTAATGACGCACGGAGATGGAAGCAAAACAAATCAATATGACTCGACTTGACGCACATGGAAGATAACAAGTCGTTATTGTAAAGCGATTTCGACGCATCAGAGGGACTTGGCGAAAACGATTTACGAGGCGAATCAAGAATCCGGAAGACTAGCGGAAAGACAATACCGCCAAGCTGAGTCTCCTGCGACTGTTGCTGCTGCTGCTGCTGCTGCTGGTAACCCCACGCTCCGCTCGCGTCCCAACCCTGCTGACGCCATCATGCGTCAGATTGAAACAGAAGCAAACACGGCGACCACGCATGTCAGCCTGAGGGCTTCCGTAACTCGTTTTTTTTTTTCAGAATTTCTTCTTTTGCGTTGTTGTAAGAACCGGAAACAGAGCGAGCAATCATGGTTGCTGAAAAAGAGGCTCAATCCCGAAACACGGAAGACACCAAACAAGAGGGTTCACGCGCGACGCGACGCATGGAACCATCAAGTGAGGATCTAGAGGACAGCTAAATGCAACGCAACCACGTTTCGTGGAAGGTTCCGGCGGCAGCACCTGGTGTGACGGCGCATAGGCACCTGTGCTGCTGGCCGGCTCGCTCCCGGCGCTCATGGCTCCCGCCTGCGACGCGTCTGCTTGCGCTGCCTGCCATTGATCCGCCATACCTCCTTAAAAATCGCGCAAGGTAAGCTCGCGTGCAGATATTAAGTCAATTCAAAGGCCGATCAAAGTAAGTTGAAGACTGGTATGCAAAGACTAAATACTCCCGCCGAAGTCATGATTTTTCTAGGTAAAAGCCAATGATGTGAGCACTAAGCAGGAATCATTTGGTTGGCTTACGGTTGACTGGTGGGTTCACTCTGGTGCGCAACGGTGGAATGCGGTGTATTCCTCAATCCATTCGATAACTGGTATGATCCGCAATCTTGGGAGGATCAAGGAAAGACGAGGGAGGGTGGTTTCTGGCGAAAGCAAAATCCCGGCAAAGGCGACAATCTCGTTAGGGCGTGTGTCCTTCGGCCCAAAATTGTCAAAGTTCGAACTTTGACCACTTTGAAACGTGGGAAAACCTTTTTGTAAAGTATTATACCGTGTAGAACCTCTTTAAAAAGTCGAACTTTGCCAAAGTTCGACCCGAAGGACACATACCCTTATGGCGGTATCGGGTATTCTGCTGAGATGCATCCAGAACAAACAAGCCTCAGGACACGGAAAAGGTAGACGATCGATCGTCAGTAGCGATCGATTTGCAGATCTGTTACCCTATTAGCTTTGCTGTAACTACGCTACAGTACGCTTTCTGGTCAAAATTTCTGTACAGTGTGAGATGCGACTGATCACTGTTCGCGGGAAATCTGTAAATTTTCAGCCGCGATCGTTACAGCCTCGCGGTCGCCACGTTTCGCCAAACGATCTGTTCACTCGATTGTGGGGATCAATATATGCAGACGATCCTGCGATATTTGCACTTTCAACACGTCCTTAGGACCATCATGAACTTGCATGAACAACAAGCTACCATAACAATCTAAACAGACTTATAATAAATTATGCACACAATGCACGTATTTTCTATTTACATTCTAATCTTTGACCACCATACTAGACCAACCAATAATAAACCTAACCTTGTGCCTTCTTCGGCTGGCTTTCTTGTCCTGAGTTCCATTGCTTTCACAATGACTTTTAGCAAACCCCTTTTCACAATTGTCATCCAATGCCATCTTTTCCCCCCACCCAAGACCCAGCCACCTCAGCTTGGTCACCTTATCATCTACTGAACCTCCAAATTCCTCTTCTTCGTCCACCATCTGATCAAATAAAGCTGTGCACTTCTCAGCATCTAAACTTTTGTGAATGTCCTCCCCGCACTTCCCCCTCACCCCTCTTTGAGCACCACTCCTGAGATTCGATCCCTGGCCCTCTCCCATGCAAAGCTGGCGGAGGTCAACAGGGGTCCCTATGCGCGCGGGGAGTGTTGCGCCTGTGTCTACGCGCGCGCTCAGCTCTTCCGCTGCCTGTTGCGCCTCCACGACAGCCAATGCCGCCCCGCTAATTCTCGCACGTGCGCTGTCAATCCACGATGGATCGCATGCCAGCTCAGCGTCTAGTCTCGAGCATTCCACGCACATCAACGTCCGGTTCGCGTCGTCATGCGAGTATACGGACGACACGGGCGACAGGATGCTGATGTCGCTGCACGACGACGTGCGACGGGAACACGAGCGCCGTTGTCGCATGCTGACTTCGTCGGAACGGCGGGAAAGAAGGCTTACGTCAGCGTACGACATGTGCGACGGGAGGCTGGCTGGTCGCACCCCGTCGGCGATGCCGTCGACTCTGCCTGGAGTGTCGCATTTAAAGTTGCTACTAGTACTACTTGAACGAGCTCCACAGTCGCAACGAAGCTCCCACGCACCGTCGTGCTCCCACGACATAGCTAAATCGCGCGAGGAATACTTGGAGGCACCTAAACGGCCAATCGTCCACGTGGAGCCACCTAAGGATTCCGCCGCTATTGCCAATGCACGGAATGACCGCGGGTGGTGCTTGTAGCTACGAAAGTAACTGAATGGACGAGAAACACACCAGACCACTACATTGATATCATAGAGAATGACCAGTGAAGGGTTGAAGAGCTGAATCACTGTCGTTCACGTCTGAGGGCGTATCCCTGGGTGGTGGCAGGGCCGCTGTAGATGGCAGCCTGCCACGAACACATAAAACGCCAGGTTGGTGTAAGGAAATTTGGCGCGCGAATACAGGTGCGTGATTGGGCAATGCCCCAAAAAATGTCACTTCAATGCCACCAAATACGAGTCGCGCGCGCCTCTGTAAAAATGTTGGTGGCATGCGGGAACTCTGCCATCTACAGTGGCCCTGCCACCACCCAGGGATACGCCCTGAATCTAGCCCAAAAACGCATGTCACGCCCATTTGCCTCATGGCCACTGCGGGGATGGCTTGGAGACAGCTGGAAAGACGATGAACCGGCGCGCACTGAAGGACTGGAGCAGGGCTGTCGCTTGCAGGGCGTTTGCCCTGCTGGACCTTGAATTCCGGGACTGGGTTGCCCTTGAAAACTGAAATTGATGGGCTGGAAATATTCTGGCCCTGATTCTTAACCGGGCTGATTTCGGACTCAGGCTTGGTGTGCTGGAGCAGATTTTAGGCGAGCCCTGGAACAAAATCTCTCGAGACCCCCCTTCCACTCCCCTCCCCCCCCAACACTCCTCCCTCTCCTTCCCCTTCGTTTCTAACCTGATTGCATCCAACAAGCCAATTTCGAGTTGCTTGGTTGGGCCACAAATTCAACTCAGCCTAGAGATAGTGCTTAAACCAATCACAGCTCGCTCTCTGTGGAGTGGGTGACGGTTAAGGCTGGGTAGAAGTGCACAAAAACTATCCTGAAGGTTGGGTAGTAAAGATGTGCAGACGATCATCGGTTCTGCAAAGGCTAGGAAGCCTGCAAAGCGTGCGTAGTGATATGACGCTAACTATTTCTGTTCTTGTCGTGTTTGCTTGCTTGTCGTGATCTCAAACGTAGTTGTAAGCTTGGTAGTTGAAATGAGGCTCCCGATTTTCCGCGCCAAACCTGATTCAAGGGAAGAAAAATTTCTAGCCCTGAAGCCTAAAGGGCCGAGATTCGCCCCAGCCCTGCTAAATACAGGGTCATACATGCCGGGCCCCCTGATTTGTCCAGGGGGGCCAAAACGAAACAGCAGGCCTGGACTGGAGTGAAGGTGTAACAGCCGTGCTCACGGGACTGAACAGCTAAGGGATAACGCCTACGTACGTGCAGTGCACTGAACTGCATGCCTTTTCAGACCGTACAGTGTGGTCTGTACACGCCGTTCAGTCTTTGTTCACGCGCCGTTGTCATTGTGTGCAAGAACGTGCTTAGAGCGCCATTGGCGGGAGCGATATTTTCTCGAAAGACCGACGCGAAGAACCAATCGCGGACGAAGGGAACATTTCGCACCCGTCCTCCCTGACAAGCCCCGTGCGCGTATACAGTACACCCTGTTTCGCGCTAGCAGAGCATCTGGTTGCAGAACATGCGCTGGTTGTAGAACGTCACCACGTTTGAAATGGTCTTATCACCGACGGTACAAGCACATTCACAAGAAAGCGGTTAGCTAGGATGCTGCATGGTAAAGAACATTAACCAAGCGTTTCAAAGCGGTTGAAAAGGGTATACAGCGATAAAGAAAAATTTTGCCCCCAGTACCACTCCGTCAGCTGGTGCGGCTTTGCCCGCAGGTTTCAGCCATACGGTTTATGGCACCTGACCGCACTGTAGCAGCGAATCGCGGAAGGTGAGAGGGTCGAGAAACAGGGTGTATAATATTACACCCTGTTTCGCGCTAGCAGAGCATCTGGTTGCAGAACATGCACTGGTTGTAGAACGTCACCACGCTTGAAATGGTCTTATCACCGACGGTACAAGCACATTCACACGAAAGCGGTTAGCTAGGATGCTGCATGGTAAAGAACATTAAACAAGCGTTTCAAAGCGGTTAAAAAAGGGTATACAGCGATAAAGAAAAAATTTGCCCCCAGTACCACTCCGTCAGCTGGTGCGGCTTTGCCCGCAGGTTTCAGCCATACGGTTTATGGCACCTGACCGCACTGTAGCAGCGAATCGCGCAAGGTGAGAGGGTCGAGAAACAGGGTGTACTGTAGACATTAGCAGGCCCTCCCCCTCATCCCCCTTCCATTGAAGTTTCCTTTGCCACACTTCCCATTCTCGTCAAAGATTTCATACGTATTTCATTCGGGAACCCATAATAATCCCTCCGCAACACACCCCCTCGGTCGGCAGGACGCCAGTCCCCCACTCCCGCCGGCTCTCT